ATGATAGTAGGCCAAGAAATGGTAAGTAGGTCTATATTTTTTGTGTACTATAATTTGTATATTAGGAATGATCAAATAACTGTTGGCTAAATATTGATGATATACCTACAGTACTTTTAGGCTTTATTGCAAGGAAGCATGAATTTAATTATAAAAGACATTCAAATGTAACTTTTTTGGCGATTCTGAATAAAAAAAGGCCCTTTCCTTAGCAAGTTTTGAATACACATGTGTGAGACAAAGACGGTATTCTTTAGGAAGTTGATGTCTTGTATGACTTTATGTACAGTAGGCCTATATATCTATGTAAAGAAGAAAGGAACAGCTTATTTACGATATAGAATGAATAACGTACGTTCAGCTTAAGCATTCTGAACGACAATATGGAAAAAAATAAAGTCAATATAATTTCTGAATAGGATATGAGGCCTACTACTGGCCGCCCTCTATCTGCAACCTTGGTGCCCATTGATCAAGTCAATGGTGCGTAGCCAACAAAAATAAGATAATCTTCGAGGCAAAATTATTGAACTCATGTTACTTAAAAATCCATAACTCCGTAACAAAGAATTGTATCACATTATTTTTTTCTGGAAATGTTCTTAAAAGACTATTCTACACCACTATATAAGTTTTAAGAAATTAAAAAAATGTTTCGACCTCTGCCACAAGATAGGAAAAGAAGAGCCTATCTAAATAGTGTATAAATAGGTCTCTGCAGTACAGTACGTAGGTAGGTAGTAGATAGCTATGAAAGATAGCCTAGATAGCTATAAAAGTATCGTAGTAATTTTTCAGTTACCGTATGACTTACGGATTTCTCTTATTATATACTACTTGTTATTTTGGAGATACCATCGGACTGGGACCCTAGCTAAGTCGTGCCACAAACACCCATTTACTATACGACGAATTTCTAAGTTGTCGAGTGAAAAGGCCTAGGCCCTGTCGCCTAATATTTTATGAGCCGAGCAAACGCGATGTTGTACGCCTAGCTAAGGCGCTATGCAATTATGGTCAAGCAAAAACTGGATGTAATATAATAATTAATAATAGCATATTGAGAATCAATTTCTTTTGGAATTTTGTTATAAATTTCAAACACATGTTGAATAACAGATATTTACTATCAAATGACATAAAATTTTCTTATTAATATTTTTATTTATTTTTTTCAATTGTCTATTATTTTTTGCAATCGCCACACTGTAGCATAGGCTTTGTGATCACTCATGCATGCAAGACACCAAGATGGCTACCCTGAGCAGCGTCTCATGTCGCAACTCTCTCTATATCATAGAGCTATTAAACAACTAGAGTGCTAACAAGATGGCGGAGCAATGCAGAGTTATGTATGTGTACCATCCAAGATGGCCGTCGTAGTAAAGCGCCAACTTCAGGCTTAGTATACATATTATTACCATAAATAAGCCCTCTGACTGACTATTATTTCATTAATGATAATGAGTAATGGTAAACACAAGTTATTAAACTATCGTAGCCAAAACGAGGCCATGTGGAGCATCCTATTAAAAAATAAAGTACCAAGGAATGAAAATTAAAATCGTGTAGATTACACCCATACACCACAACGCTTGAGTTTCAAACATACGGGTAACTAGATGTACTGAACTTTCTGTGTAAATTGAGGGCGCAATTGCAAACTACGGCACTTAGGCGAAATTTGATTGGCTGAATTTATGGCAGCCATTTTGGATGGTACACACACATAGCTCTGCGTATTTCGAACATTGAATACATTGCAGTTAGCGCTCTAGTATTCTTATTATATCTCTATGCTCTATATGGAACTCTCTAAAACTTATAAACAAACAGCGCCACCACAAGATGTCGAGGTGCTAATTACGGAATTTAGATCGTCGATAACATTCATCATTTCGAGATCTAGTTTGTTGCATACTTGCTCATTAGTTATTGTTTACATCTCCCTGATTAGATGTTGCCTGCTCTATTTCAAAAGGGAAAAAATTCGTAACCGCTGAATTTAGATAAATTACCCTTCGAACTTGGTGAATTTTTATACAGCCTAGCCGGCCCTAGGACGCTAGGATTCGAAGGACAGGGCTTTCTACCATCCGGCCTAGCCAGGACCGAGTGTGTGTGTACTACTACCATATTTATTTATTATATATTCGGCATGTAATACAGAGTAAAATACCACAAACAGGATACAAAAAGACAGGTTAGCGGCATGCCCAGAGAGAAAAATGGGCTAAAGCCCGATACCATAGGTGAATTCTCTCTAAACCCTCTAACCTGTAAAGGAACAATGAAAAACAAGTATTAAAAGATTTGTTTACATTTTATACAATTTTTTCTAAAAAAAAAAAACAGTACATAAAAATTAATCTATAGAAAATATTGAAAGGATATGGAAGATACCATACTATTACTGTACTATTGTTCTTCATTCTTATTCGATGTGTGGGCCGTTGTTGATTTTAAAAAATATAATAGGTCTTTTTTAAATTTGTTTAGTTTAAAATCAGAAACGAGGATGCCACGGCGGTGAGTCAGACATTTTATACCACGATAACTAAAAGTCCGAGTAGTCTTTTGAAATTTGGTATAATGCAATGAATGAATTTGGTGACTTAATTTCCGTAATTTCTAAATTTGCGTTTATTTGTTGCATACAAAGAAACGTACACACCCGCAGTCTTCATGGTTCCCACTTGCACTACAATACTTAGTTGTCGTTTTATTAAAAACTTTCAATTTATTCATTGAGGCGACTCTGTAGATTGACCAAATGGTAGAACAATAACAATAAGAGAATAAGTAGAAAAAAATGTAATCAATCTAATACTTCCGTGTTGATATAATAAACAAAAGCTTCAAATTATGGTTACATCTAAACGAAACTAGAATACTAATATACACTTCATACAACATAAATCTGACCTACTCCTGTAATATATATCTAGGCCCTTGGTGTTTTAAATTATTTTCTAGTTCCTGCTGCTAAACAAAATTCCAGTTGTCATTCCAGTGCTTCGTATTCCGAGGTAAGTGCATGCTTCCGTAAGTATAAACTATATTTTCTTTGTCGTTACATTATTTAAAACAAAAATATAACTTCTTTCTAAAATGGCTGTTATTATTGAAAGTTATATATTAATATGCTTATAGGCAATTACTGTTTGTAACGCAGCTAGGTATTTAGTGTGCTTCATATATTTTTAGTACATGGTAATCTATCTTTATAAATACTGCACTGGGCCATACATTAGATTATAGCGTAGGCACTGATGTTATTGCTATGCTCTTATTTGTATGTTCAACCTGCACTCTGTCCAATTATATAATTGTACAATAAACACAGTTAATAGATACAACTTAAAATTTAACAATGTCGTGATAAACAAGTAATACGAAGGCCAAATGCGTGTGTTAGTTGCGGGAAGAAATGGCGCACTGTACAATTACTGTTCATCTCAAAGTTTAAGACTTTATTGGACATAACTTGTGATACCGCCCATCTCTCACAACCAAAATAGCAACACATCTGAAAGGCATACCGTACACATTGATTAGCCCATGATAGTATACAGGTATATTAATGTATTTGTCTAAATATTCTAATTGTTGTAATATAATTCAGTAGTTTTTTCTGTGCTAGATCTTCACCAACGAACGGATATTTACTATATATATTAATTGACAACAATGTCTGGAAAACTAAATATCGAACTGCCATCATCCTCTTCACAAGCATCCTCGCCATCACCCACCAACTCATTATCGCCTTCTATAATCCCATTGTCGTCATCATCATCATCAACTTCCTCCTCCGTCAATTCCTACTTTTCACTACCTTCAACTTCATGTAACTATCGTCGGAATGAAGATGCTAACACGTAAGAGCATTACCTTACCCTTTACTTTGTGGGCCTATCTTGTAGGCCTATTCGTAACTTGTATGAATGCTATATTACACATTGTACTTGACACATTGTACGGTGAACCGGAGGCATCTATACCTTGAACTTCATAAGTGGTAGCCTGGCCCTGTTTTTTTACTTTGTAAATTTTCACTCTGTACCGTGTATCCTTTAAATTTGCATTGTTCGTTATATTTGGCCAGCCTGCTTTTAATTTTGTATCCCGTATGCATCCTTGTACCTCGTCCGTTTCACCGTGTACTCTGGTGCCTTTTATGCTGTTGACTTTTATGCTGTACAATATTACGCTGTAGACTGACTTAATTGTTGGGCCTGACATGTACCTTGGATCGCTACCGGTACCTTTCACAATGTTGACATAGGGCCTACTTTGTATTTTTATGTACCTTGTAAATATACATTGTTTTGCAATAATAAATCTTCTATTTCACTTGTATACTGCTT